AGTCAATCAATGTTGTATTAATGCACATACAGCACTCATAATAAGTGAGTACAGCCCATTTTAGAAATAACCAGTTTCCTCCATTTCTCATTGAATATAGGCAGTGTATTTTAGTGAATTTAAACAAAACTGTCACGAGAGAGTTTCACAAAAACAAGAAAAGATCCATGTGCAGCAAAATAAATTTATTAAACTAAACAACGATAATCCAAAAACACAGTGCAGACAAGAAACAAGCAGGAATACAAAGGCAACTAAAACACAACACAACAGAACAGTGCTTATAAAGACAGGACTCGATTAAACAAACAAGGAACAGCTGAAAACGATAAGTGATCACGTGTGCTGAGATACAAGCGAAAACAAAACAATGTTAGTGGCCTCAAGCATCCACATGAGGGCACTACAACAGGTGTGACAAAAACATTGAAAACACAAATATATTTTAAAAAATAATATTTTAGTCACCAAAAATATTGATAAATCAAAAAATATCACAATTAAATTTAAGCAAACCTACATTTTTTTTTTCTGGATATTACTATAGGTTAAAACATATTGTCACATATGTAGACTTTTGAGACGATCTGCAATTTTCCCCTTAGCCTTCTCTCTTGCTGTTACAAGTTGTAGTTTTTGATTGTTTTGTTGAAATTATTAGATGTTTGAACTCTAAAAACAGACGCAGCTCACTCGCTGTGAACAGCTGCGTCTCATTTCAGAGCTCTTTCATCGTAGTGGCCATGGTAGCAAACAACATAATTGATGCATCTATGCCCGACCTTCAGGGTTTCACGTCAGTAATGTGCACGAGCATTAATGTAGATTATTTAAACTGAACTCAGATTAGTTCAATTCATCAAATGATCTTCAACTTGCTGTTATGGAACCAGTTTAAGTGTAGACGTTTAGTTTGGCTCATTGAAGTCAAGTTTTTGACTTTAATTCTCACTTTTCTACACGGCTTTTATGAAACAGTCCCCAGGACATGAACCAGCGAAACTCTGTCTGCTGTTGTTTAAAAAAAAAAAATTAAACTACTTCAATGACTTTAACAATCCAGTGATGGTTTTGTACTAAAAAACCTTCCCTATTTGTTCTTTACAGAGCCCCTATTATGGATGTTTGAAAATGACCTTTCATCAGTGTGTAATACAGCTGTAAGTCAACAAAAACATCAGTTACTGGCTCTCAAAGAAGAGTCAACTCAAAATCATTCAAATGAGTCATTTTTAAAATGAATCCCGAGGCGGTATAAGCTGAAAATGAATGAATTTGTAAATATTGTTTTTATCAATTTTTCAATTCAATTCAGCTTTATTTGTATAGCGCTTTTACAATGTAGATTGTGTCAAAGCAGCTTCACATAAATGGTCATAGTAATTGGAACAGTGTGGTTCAGGTTTTAGTGTTTAAGTTCAGTTCAGTTCAGTTTAGCTCTGTTCAGTGTGATTTAATCATTACTGAGAGTTCAAACACTGAAGAGCAAATTCATCGATGCGTAGCTCTACCAATCCTGAACCATGCGAGGCAGTGGCGACAGCGGAGAGGGAAAAAAAACTTCACCTGATGGGAGTGAAGAAAAAAAACCTTGAGAGAACCAGACTCAGTTGGGCACGACCATTTTAATTTCTCCGCTGGCCAAAAGTCTTGTGCAGAACTTCATTCGCCGTGGTTTATGCTGGAAGATGGCCTCAATGAAGACTGTCTGTCTCTGGAGCGTCGCTGGAATCAGACTCATGTTCTCCACTCCCCACGACCATCAGCGCAGCAGCAGCTCAGGATATGGCCTGGTCCCGGATATGGAATCCTTGGGATCATCACGTCGCTGGTCTTGGATCCAATCAGTGACTCCGCCTAATCTGAGGACCTCGGGATGAGTATCCCCAGGTGAAAATAGAGAATAAAGAGAATAATTAGCGTAGCTGCTGTTCATAGTGTATATAAGCAAGATGTAGAAGCCAGTGTGGAACCCGCTAGGTGATGCATTGAGAGTATGCTTTACTAAACAGATAGGTCTTTAATCTAGTTTTGAACTGGGAGAGTGTGTCTGAGCCTCGGACATTACCAGGAAGGCTATTCCAGAGTGTAGGAGCCATGAAAGAGAAGGCTCGACCTCCTTTACTTGATTTTGCTATTCTAGGTACTACCAGAAGCCCTGAATTTTGAGATCTTAAGGAGCGAGTTGGTTCGTAGCGAGACAGAAGGTTGGTTAGATAAACAGGAGCTAGATTATTTAGAGCTTTATAGGTGAGAAGTAATATTTTAAATTCAATACGAAATTTAACAGGCAGCCAGTGTAAGGAGGATAAAATTGGGGTTATATGATCATATTTTCTAGACCTGGTCAGAACTCTGGCTGCTGCATTTTGCACTAATTGAAGTTTGTTAATAGAGGATGCTGGGCAGCCAGCAAATAGAGCATTACAGTAATCCAGTCTCGAAGTCATAAAAGCATGGACTAGCTTTTCTGCACCTGAGATGGATAGCATATTTCGTAATTTAGCGATATTTCTCAGATGAAAGAAGGCAGTTTTTGTGACATGGGATATATGGTTTTTAAAAGTTAGATTGCTGTCTAATATGACACCCAGATCTTTTATAGTAGAGCTAAAGCTAACTTTGTATCCCTCTAATTGTAAATTGAGTTGCGAGATCTGCTGTGTGCAAGATTTAGGCCCAATAAGTAATAATTCTGTTTTGTCTGAGTTTAAGAGAAGAAAATTGTTGGTCATCCAGTCTTTGATGTCTTTGATACACTCAGTTAGTTTAGAAAGTTCAGACGTCTCGTCAGGTTTAGTGGAAATATATAATTGAGTATCATCTGCATAGCAGTGAAAGCTGATCCCATGTCTTCTAATAATGTCTCCCATAGGTAGCATGTAAATTGTAAACAGTAAAGGGCCTAAAACTGATCCTTGAGGCACCCCATACTTTACTGGGCAGATTTGTGAAGGCTGTCCATTAAGATTTACAAACTGGTAGCGGTCAGTTAAGTATGACTTAAACCATTGTAGAGCCTGTCCCTGGACACCTGTAGACTTTAAGCGATTTATGAGGATATTGTGGTCAATGGTATCAAATGCCGCACTAAGATCGAGTAAAACTAATAGCGAGACGCACCCTCGGTCAGCAGCTAAGAGTAAATCGTTGGTTATTTTCACTAAGGCGGTTTCTGTACTGTGGTGAGCCCTGAAACCTGACTGAAACACTTCAAAAATATTGTTCGTCTGCAGAAAAGAGCATAATTGAGTGGAAACAACTTTTTCTAGTATTTTAGACATAAATGGAAGATTTGAAATAGTCCTATAGTTAGCTAAGTTGTTGGTGTCTAGTTGCGGTTTCTTAATAATAGGCTTAATAACAGCTAGCTTGTAAGAGTTTGGAACATGGCCTATAGATAAAGAAGAGTTGATAATGTTAAGAAGAGGTTCTCCTATAGCAGGTAGCAGCTCTTTCAGTAATTTTGTTGGAATTGAGTCCAGCATACACGTAGCTGGTTTAGAGCTATTTATAATTTTCACTAACTCTTCATGTTCTATGATTTTGAAGCAGTGTAGGTTATTATTATGATTTAATGAAATATTTACAGGATTTGGAGTATAAGCCGGTGCAGAAAGTTTGGCATCTCCTATTTTCTGTCTAAAGCCTTCTATTTTATTACTGAAAAAATTCATGAAGTCATCACTACTAATTTGCGGTGGAGTAGTTTGTTCCAAGGATGACCGATTATTTGCTAATTTAGAGATGGTGTTAAATAAAAATCTAGGATTGTTATGATTATTTTCTATCAGTTTGCGCAGGTGCTCGGTCCTGGCAGATTTTAGAGCCCTCCTATAGCTGGACATACTGTCTTTGTACGCAATTCTAAAGACCTCTAAATTAGTTTTTTTCCATTTACGTTCCAGGGCGCGGGTTGCTGTTTTGAGCGCACGAGTATGACTATTATACCATGGTATAGTTTTAATCTCTCTAGCCTTTTTTAATTTTATGGGTGCCACAGTATTTAGTGTGCTAGTAAAGATGGCATCCATACTGCTGGTTACTACATCAAGATCATTTGAGTTTGCGGGTGCATTACGAAATAGAGAGAGATCAGGTAAGTTATTTATAAATTCATCTTTAGTTGACGGAACAATAGTTCTACTAGGGCGGAGTATTGGAGCGGGTTTGCTGATTTCAGGTAAACATAGCTTATATAGTAAGAGGTAGTGATCTGTAATATCATCACTTTGTGGTATAATGTCTACGTCAATAACCTCGATTCCATAAGACAGAATTAGATCTAATGTATGCTTTAAGCGATGGGTTGGACCCACAACGTTTTGCTTTATCCCAAGTGAGTGTATTAAATCCATAAACGCGAGCCCTAATGTATCATTAGCGTCATCTATGTGGATGTTAAAGTCACCTACAATTAGCATTTTATCAGTTTTGACTAGTAAGTCAGAAATAAAATCAGAAAATTCTTTTAGAAATTTGACATAGGGTCCTGGGGGTCTATATATGGTGATTAAAGCGAGAGATAACATAGGTTTTTGTATAGTATCTGGAAGCTGAACATTAAGCGATAATACTTCAAAGGAGCTAAACATAAGTCCGTTTCTCTGTTTAATATTAAGGAAATCACTAAAGATTGATGCAACTCCACCACCACGACCAGTTTGACGAGCCTCATGTTTATATAAGAATCCTGGAGGAGTTGCTTCATTTAAGCTAATATAGTCATTTTGTTTCAGCCAGGTTTCAGTGAGACAGAGTGCATTAAGATTGTTTTCTGTTATTATTTCATTAATGATAAGTGCTTTAGGTGCAAGTGACCTGATGTTTAGGAGACCAAGTTTTACGAAATTTGTATTTTCACTTTCTACTGGTTTTTCTGGTTTGATTCTTACTAGATTTTTCCTGGAGCACACAGTACGTTTATTTCTTAATCTAATAATACGAGGAACAGACACAGTCTCTATAGGATTCGCCAGATATGCGTTACTGATGTTTAAGTGGGGTGAACAAGAGTCTAGGTGGCTATAGTGTGAATTTTGTGAATTTTTACCTGCTAGTCAGATGGTGCGAAGTAGTCTGGAGATGTTGTCCGACAGGAGTTCAGCTAGGTATCAGTAGGCATTTTTTCACACTGTTTTGTTTTGAGTTGAGGGAATAAATATTATTTCTTTTTTCACGTAAAATAAATTATAGTACTTTGAGTAATTTTCTCACAACAAAATTTATTTTTGAGTACTTTTTTATGAGATCCTACAAGTCATCGAGCTGCAAACAACACAGGGAAAATGGTGAAAAAAAAAAAAAAAACAGTGGAAATATCTGCTGACTTTGGTGCACTGTATTAGTGTTGGCAGAGACCCCCCTTTTTTAATTGTAATATCAGTCTGGGAAAAATACACAAGTCACAAGCAAATTATTTTTGCTTTAACCTACGAGAGCTCATATTAGAAATTATATGCAGATGAATTGATATTTTCATATTAAAAGATGCTATTTGTAATGACAGAACTTATTAACAAGTGTTAAACTGTTTTTGTGTTGCTGTTATTGTCTTTGGTAGTTCTTTCAGATAGACAATACAGTAATATGTACTATAGACCTACACAGTACTAAAATATCTTTCAAACAATATTTTCCATATTATACATTTTATTTTAACATTTTTACTTTAACGTTTTTTATTTTGCCAGAAAACATTGCTAGAAAACTGTCCCTGAATGCTTAAATAATACATAAAATAAAAGTAAGCTGTAAATATCATAAACTCTTTTGACACTATTCAAATCAAACTTAATTTTTTGTAATAAACTGTAATTTTCAGGAATCACTTTAATAATCAATAACCTTACTCACGTGTCTGATGTTGCTACTTGGTCTGAGCGTGCAGTTGGCTTTCTGGACCTGCAGTTTCCTCAAACCCAACAGCAGGTGGCACTGTCTGAGCAAATGGTCTCCGTTCCTGCAGTTTTACCCTAGTCAATACAGGAAAATAACAGATATTATTGAGGGGTTTTGCACACTCGAAGCAGAACTGCAGATTGATCAGTGTGTGACGTCAGTGTACCCTCCAATCGCTCTCACTGCACTTTGATCACACATTATAACACTGATGGAAAGACCACATTTGGTAGTTTGGTAATATATATATATATATATATATATATATATATATATATATATATATATATATATATATATATATATATATATATATATTTTTTTTTTTATATATATATAATGCAGCATACAGGCAAGCAGATACAGTAAACCCAGAATGCAATGCACTAAATTAAGCTAAAAACAAGTTAGCAATGCAATACGTTAGTTTCGGGTATAAGAGACCCCAAAGCAAATAATGAAATGATGCTGTTCATTTTTGACATAAGTGGTAAAGGATTCTGCAGTTTTAATTGTGTAATGAAACATGCTTTCAGCCTCCTTTTGTGGCACAGTCCTACAATTAAATAAAAAACTATAGGCCTACCGTTATTTATTTATTTAGGCTATGTGTTAATTATTATATGGTGTCGTATGGTGTCTGATGCACAAGAAGTGTCAGTCTGCATAATTGTACTCCTCCTCTCTTCACTCCAGCCACTGTTAAAGGTAAAGAGAGGTACATCTCAACAGAAGACCAGATGCTGTCAGGCAGAATTCACACTTGGTACTTGAGTGACAGAATAGAAGAGAAGAGTAAATAACAGCACTTTACACTCTTTATTCACTGTGGAGAAAAAAGCCTTTCCAGTACACAAAATGCTCACTACAGTAGAGAAGGGTTTTCTCCTAATAGATTAAAAGTGTTACTGATTTTAAGTGTTGCTTTCATTTAATTCCTTTATTTTTGAGTCCATTTACACACATTTGTTTGGGCTACATGGGTAAGCGTTGATCCTCAGCCACCTTTCGTTTTCCTTTTAAAAATTATGTCATTGGTTTGATGCCTTTTATAGTAGCAGAGGCTAAAACGTTATACATGCAGAAACTAAATGAACATGATGTTAGATATTTCTGTAGGGCAGCGCGAAGTAACCTGGGGTAAAATGTAGCACAAAGTTTAAGGTATTTGCTCAGGGTTAACCATGGCATTCTTCAGAGGTTTTCAGCACAGTGTCGGCAGATGTCTTCTTGCCAATTATTGAAAAAGTTTGGCAAAATTTTAATGAGAAACACATGAGAAACCTTTCTGCAGTATTTTTTTTATCGTAGTCAATCTTTTTTATTTAAAAATAAATCTGTGAAAGTATGTTAGTGACATCTTATATTGTTGTTGTCACCATCTTCTACGCTAAAAGATGAAACATTTTAAAAGATGTAAAACACACAGTGACTGCTAGCCTGTTTTGAGGAAAACACAACACTGCTGGGTTAGCTGTAACAGGGTCTTACAATTAAGCCACGCGCTGATGGAAACCAATTAAACTAACAATATAAATTTTGAGTAATTTTGGGAACATTTTTATATGAAAAACAGTTTTTAATAGAAAATCTTTTTTAACAGAAAACAGAAATTCTGCTGCTAATAATGAAAAAAAAATGCATCGTATGATAATTGATAATAATGCAAATAAATCCAAATGTTTTTATCCAAAAGCTAAATAAATACACATGCTGTGCTGTATAGAATAGAAAAAGCTGAGTTACAGTAAGTACTGAGGAAATATAGCTACTATTCAGAGTTAAATTAACTGTGTGAAATCTGCCTTTAAGCATGTGTTACAACTAATCTCCTGACTGTTACAGCTTGCCCTGCAGGTGGGGTAAGTAGTAACATTTATACTTCTGGCACTTTTGACAATACAACATTGAAAGTAGCCTTCTATTTACATGAAACAAACCATTACAGAATTAAAAGCCTTATTAAAAGTTGTTTATTTACTGTCTCTTTGTCCTGTTTTCAAAAGAATTGCTGTGATAGAGCTAACAAACACATTTCAGATGAATTTAATCGGCAGTTGTACAAAACTGATGGTTTATAATTTATTTGCTTCATTTTTATGTAGATAACCATAGTTACGTGTCTTGAAAAAACTCCAATAACTGATGAATATATATATATATATATATATATATATATATATATATATATATATATATATATTATTTTATTTTTTTTTCAACCCGAAGTTGAACGTGAAACGAATAATGTATAATGTGAAATAAATCTATCATTTCCCACCTTATGATAATGCAGTTATTCCTCTTACCTTTATTAGCAAGATCTTGGGAATACAGGTTGTGTTCAGATGCTCTTGGTAAGCTTCCAGCAGTGTGAGATTTCTGCTTTCAATTTCAGACTAAACGTCTTATTCTGAAGGCGGAAACGGAGCCACAGCGAGGGTGGAGTTAAAAACTAGCTTAAAAAAAGAAAGTAATTATTAATGAATATGCCTATTAAACACAAAACCTTGGAGCAGCGAGCACATAAGTGGCAACACTGCTTTTGAAAAAATACAGACACCGCTACAACATATGTGTTTGTTGATTGAATTTCAATCTTTAGGCTTCTACAGTAGATGTTGAATGGTGTGTTAATACTGTTCCAGTTCTTGTTTACATATACTACAAATGGGTTCAATTTATTCATATTTATGAATATAAAACCTTCCAATAAACTGCACCATGTTTATACAATAACATGCGTTCATAATAACCCAAAAAGACTGAACAAAAGGACATTTCCAACAATAAGTGAGCTGCACTTTCAGTAGAAATGTCAAAGAAAGAGCAAGATAATCAATGTTTCTTTAAAATTTCAGTATAAGCGGCTTAATATTATTTAAGAATTATTTTATTTTGTTAAAAAACTTTATAGGATGGCATGATCAACGATGAATGAATAATAGACGTCTGTAAGACTTATTTGAGTTGATAGTTGATTATTCACTGCTCTGTAGGAAAATGTAAATCAAAAATAAATCTATGCAAACAATCTAGCCTTTATAAACAAATTATTTGACAAAAAAGATGATTGCTGCAGTAAATTATTCGTAGCCTTTTAATAAGTTTGACATGTACAAGATAGAGATGGCACTAAAAGTAAATTGTTTGTTTGGGAATTTGTGAGACTGTAGTTGTCCAATAACAAACCCTTAAAAGCATTTGGTTGTTGTCATGTAGTGAACTCATTGCTGGTGCACGCTCGAGTGATGTGTTAGTTATGGAAAATGATGATTTACAGGCTCACCAGGGTTGGGAAGAGGGCGACTAACATTGTAAACATGAAGGAATAATATTAAGATATCACTAACATTTAACACCAGGAGGAAAATAACTGATTATAGAATATTGATCTTCCCAATGTTTCCTTCCTATTAAAAATAAATGTATTTCCAATCTGGCATGTAATGGGGAGAGAAAACGAAGAATGAGTTCAGCAGACGGATTCGACTCGAGTTGATGAAAAAGCATATTGCTGTATTGCAGTGCTACATGAATTAATCATGAATACACTGAAAAAAAAAATAAAAATCTTATGTGGTTTTTACCTAAAAAAACTAGTGGTAACACTACTGCATGTATTATGTTTAAGTAATTTTTAAGACTTGATATTTTTAGCAAAAACACTTGAATGAATCATGTGAAAACTACAAATTTTTTGAGTGATAAATAATGAATTTAATATTATTGTGCTTAATATAAATGTGTTTTTATAATTTAAGCAAATCCACCATCATTTACTCAAATATTTTTTTTTAGCAACAGACCCAATGAAGAGGAGCATGAGGGTATAGAAGATGTTATGGTAACATTATGAGCAAGCAAGCTTTAACCAGGAGAAGAAGAACAACAGCAGTGCAGACTGGATTCAACATGTTTCTGAATAGGAGACACACAGAAAAAGGAGAAACAGTCAAAAAGAGAGTGATGAAATCAGATATAATGTCTGATTACCTAGATTGTGTTTGAGCCTGATGTCGACACATCTAGGTGAACTCAGAAAATCAAGGTTTGGAGGAGCTGCTTCATTCAGGGCTGCTGCACTGCATCTGTTATTTAGCCAAGTTTAATTTAAAAGCATAAAATCCAGGCAATCTGTGTTGATACCAAACATAATACAACTTGCCATTAGTGTTAAATGCCACAGTTATGCATGAATAGTCATCAGACAAGTGTAGGCAAGGTGAGCAAATCTTAAAAAATCAGTCAAAATATGAAATCAGGTAAACTGATCTAATAGCACACAATAATAATGCTTACATATTCATGAAGGTCACATTTATCCACCGATGTTTAGGTGAACATGCTTATGTTTCAGAGAAAATGGCATTCCTTGCCGGTGCAGCTGATGGAGTCACAGCGCCTCCTGCAGGACACAAACAGCATCACATCAGTCAGTAACGCTGTTGTTAAAAGTGAAAGTGTTTCAGTTCTCCGGCATTTGTTGAAGCTCACTGAAGACTGAAGACATCTAACCTCGACTGTTCTGAGTTCATCTCTGTGAGTACACTTACATTAATATATTTAACAAACTCATTGTGCTAGAAGCTGATCATTATCTTTTAATACTGCAGTAACATCAGTAAATGAGCTGTTTTAGGTTTAATAAGAACTATACTTGTACTGTTATTGTAAAGTGTAACCTCCTTTACTACATATTAATACATCATTATTCATGTACTGTTATTGTAAAGTGCTACCAGAACTATTAATAAGTTAACTGTGAGCTTCACGGTTGTGACCTTTATTAACATTAAAGTTAGTTTACATGTAAAGTATGTTAACTAACTAGCCCTAGTGTTGTGTGAATCAGTGTATGATCTCCTTCAGTTGTGATCACCTGTTCTGTGTTCATGATGTCAATAATATTTGTTTTTGTGATTTTTATGCTAATTACATTTGCCATTGTTGTTGATTCAGACTGTTTTGTCGGTGAAAATGTCGTTGAGTAAAGAGACGAATGATCCTCAGTTCATGGAGCAGGTGAGTGTCTCTCTTTTTCTCCAGTATTTATCACAGAAATAAATTGTACTGTTAGTTTTATGTGTATTTCTCATGTTTCAGAACACAGTGCTGCTGCTGATCGGCAAAAGTGGATGTGGGAAAAGCTCCACAGGAAACATCATGTTCAATAGTTCGGTGTTTGAGTCCAGAATAAGCTCTTCATCAGTGACGAGAGTCAGTCAAACACACACTGCATCTGTCAATAACCGCAGTGTGATGGTAGTCGATACTCCAGACTTCAGATACTCCACACACGCTGACTTTGACTCAGACTCTGAGCTGAAGAGAGCTCTTCAGTTATGTGTATCAGGAGCTCATGTTATTCTGCTCTTTCTGCCTTTAAGCACCTTCACTGAGCAGGAGCAGGAGTTCATCCACTGGTTTGAGCAGAAGTTTGGTGCAGAAGCTCTCAGATTTACTCTGGTGCTCTTCACTCACGCAGATAAACCACACATGAGGACACTAGCAGAACTGATCAGGGGAAACACCCAATTATCTGATTTCATTAATCGATGCGGACGCAGATATCATGAGTTTAACATTAAAGCTCCAGCAAACAGACGACAGGTGACTGAACTGATGGAGAAAGTAGAGAGACTGGTGTCTGAGAACACACACTCCTTCTACACACTGGAGATGATGGAGGACGAGGAGAAGAGGAGAAAAGAGGAGGAGAGAAGAGAGAAAGAGAAGAAAGAGAGAGAACGTCAGATTACATTAGAGAGAGTCAGACGAGAGACAGAGATACGAGCCAGGAGAGAATATGAGGAGGCGAAACAGTGGCAAGAAGAGGAGAAGAAGAAAGAGAGAGAACATCAGATTACATTAGAGAGAGTCAGACGAGAGACAGAGATACGAGTCAGGAGAGAATATGAGGAGGAACAGAAGAAAGAGAGGAAGAAGCTCTTTAAACAGATAACCCTGAAGCGCCTCTGTGTGATTGCAGCTTTCTCTGTAGTATCAGGGTTAGTGTTAATGAGTAAGAAAGACTCTTCACTGTGGATGTTCATGTGTGGCTTCATCACCGGAGGATCAGCAGCCACTGCTGGAGTGGGCTGTGGGTTTCTCTGTAGACTGATGTGGAAGAGTTCGTTCTTCTCCTCTTCTCCTCATGAGCGTCCCAGTGTGTTCAGATACTTTCTGCTGAAGACGTCAGGTGTTGTGTGTGGTTTAGCTGTTGGAGCTGCCATTGGTCAGTTTGTTGGAAGAAATTTACTTTTGGTTACGTTTATCAATGGTTTAGCTGGAGCTGCTGGAGCCTGGACAGCATTGCAGAGAGGCTGGTGATGAGTTACAGATTAGAGATCTGCATGGGACTGAAATTTTAACCCCATTCCTGCCAGGTTTTATTCCACACCTGACCGCTCCTGCCGTATATTCAGTTTAGTTCACCCTCTGCCAACCCAGTCCATTTTCTACCTGGCCCGACTGTTTCTGCTAAACTAAGATCTGGTTTTCAAAATCTCTCATTTAAATTGAGTACTGCCAAAAGAGAGAGAGAGAGAGATAGAGAGAGAGATAACAGATACAAGTGTAGGTTGTGCAACGATTGTAGGCTAAATGTCAGTGTTGTTTGCCCTTTTGTGATGAGACATGAGTGCCACCTTAAACAGTGACGTGCGGTGATATTTCAGTCAGATTTGCAAACATATCTAACCGGTATATTTGCCAACTACTGATTGTGTTTCAAATATCACATCAGCATTATTTCTATAAATGAAGCAGGTACATATTGGGCCAGAGCAGAATGTAAAGCAATTAAATATGCCTCCCAAAAACACCCAGCTAATGTTACAGAGTCAAGCAGCACCATGGTGGATGCACATGCTCTATTTCTCATTCAAACACACACACACAGCACCACGGCGAGCTCTTACAGTCACATTTCACATATTGGTGCTTTATTGGCATGACAAATAACTGTACATTCATATTGCCAAAGCAGTGCAGTGTTGCTGGGCACAAACAAGACAGTGCAAAAATGCAAAGCAGTAGTGCTCTCTCTCATTCTCTCTCTCTCACACACAGCACTTCAGCGGGTATGTGCACATGCTCTCTACCTAGGGAGCGCACGCTCTTTCTCTGGGAAGTGCTATAGGTAGGCTGCCCAGGCCGCCTGCTCCCATTCAAATTACACCAAAGTTCCTGACCGCTACAGTGTTTTATTCGGGAATTTATTCCCGCACTGCAAGAAAACAGGTCAGGTGTGCAGCTCTCATGGTACAGACACGGGAATGCAGACCTCTAATACAGGTCATGATGAAAGGACACTCTTTTAATGCTCGACATGTTAATTGTGCTTCTGTTTCTGTATTAATTCTTTAATCTCATTTAGATTTTATATGGGTCATAAATAATGCTCAAATCCTCAAATGAGCAGTACAGCTCACAAAAAATTAGTTAACATGTTTTATTTAGCTCAGATTATTTGGCAAATCCATCTGGAGTCTCTGAGTTGATGATCAGGTCTCTGTTATATTTGTGATTCTTACCAATGTTCATTTTTCTGAGATTAAATAACATCATTGATGCGAACCTGACATGATCTTAAATGTAATGTGTGTAAAACTATATGTTGGTGTATTTTATAATGGTGTAATGTAAATTCTTATTCCTACATGTCACATTTACAGCTAAAGTTTTCCATTCATCCTGTCTGTCTGTCTCATTTTATATACTATTCTAATCCCTATAACTTCACAATATTTTTTATTGTGTCTGCTCATAATAAATTAAATATATAAATTAAATTAGAGATGGAGAGACCAAATTACATATTGTTATGTCTAGGGTTTAAGGGAAATGTAACAGAATCATGAAGAGCCTGTGTGTGAGCCAAAGCTAAACAAGATCTCATGACAGATTTAATAATAGCTGAAAGAATTAGCATGATTTTTATTGTTAGACTGTAAATTAGGGATGATCATAAATACAGTTGTGAAAAATAAATGACAATACAATAGATGTGCATGTGTGTTTGTGTCAGTCTGTACAGTAGAAGCATCATTCTAGCTATGAACAGGGAACTTTCATGGACACCAGATTCAAGGTTTTAAAGGGTTTTTAAGGCACTATCCATATCCAATAAATTGAATTTAATACTGGTGAAAATCAAATGCAGTTTCTGAAATATTGATCAAATGTGCATAATTAGTCAGTTTTATTGTACAAGATTTATGAGTCCTAATTTAAGATTTTTTCAGTTTATTTATTGTTTTTTACAATTGAGTACAATTGTTTAAATAAAGTTATAAACAAGTTTAATTTCAGATTTAATTTGTAAGAATGGGTTTTACCCACAGCGGTTCCAACTGTACTTCTGCAGAGTGACTAAACGGTTATCAGCATGAGGGTAAAAAACTGTGCAATTCTAGTCAAACCATTCTTCTGCAATCTCATACCAAAAACAGAAATAAGGGCAGTATTAAAAGCTAAAATTGTTGATATTATGTGATTGTATTGTATTTCAATAATGAACAATAAATGTTGATGTTAAATCAAAAGTAATTCACAAATACTTGAGTATGAGATGCTTTAATGACAATAATACTCAATGGTTACAACTGAATTATTTACAAAATAACTGTATAAAGTGATCAAATATGAAATGATATAAACATATGATTACAATTATACCCAGCTTAAATGTAAAAATGAAGTTACCTAAAAAAGAGAGGGAGACAGGGAGGAACAGAGAGACAAAGAGAGCAGGCCCAGAAGTTAGCCTGATTGCAGTAGAGTCAGAGAAGATAGACTCCAGAGGAGGAGAGCAGGAAAGCAAGAGATAGAACAAAGAGAGAGAGCAAAGTTTACCACCTATAGTGTCTCTTTCTTGACCATGTGACTAAAGCCCAAATACTGGGACATTTTTGTGTTGTTTTTTTCTTTGCATAAAAGTTGTTTTACTTTATATATATATTATTTTTTTAAAATAAACATATTGTAATAGTTATTCAAACAAAATGTATTTCACCAAAAACTACACTTTATTGTTGTACCTATGTATGCAACATAAACTTTATTAACTTTATTAACTTTATTAACTATATTTGATTTGCTTTCATTTTGTTTTGTTTTTTATGTTTCATTACTGCACACGGTCATCTACTGTAAAGTACTGTTAGTTCTGCAGAAAGTGCGTCTTATTTTATAAATATACATTTTGGATATTATCTTATGTTTTGAATGTTATTAAATAGTGTGAGCAGTTCTGAAACTAAGCAATATAACTTTATTGACAACCATCACAAAAAAAAGTAGACCAATACTAACAGGGTAAATAACTGCAACATTATACAAAGTGCACCATCAAAACCATTGTTCCACTAAATCTGTCCTCACAGATGTGAGAAATATGAGCACAATGCATCTCTAGTGGCATTTGACCTGGTGGCTGAATGACAAGAATTCCATTCATTGTTCACATTTTCGTCATCAGTAGCAATCTCATCACAGTCGTCACTATACAATTGACAAAAATTGTGACGCACACAACAGGCACTGATAATAGTGATAATAGTGTTAATGTTGTCTATGTGACAATCAAACTGCTTCATCAAGCATCTCCATCTTCCTTTCAGGAGGCCAAATGCCGTTTCCACAGTCATCTGTGTCTTGCTAAAGCAGTTGTTGAAGGTAGTCTGTGCAGGGGTTGTCTGTTGGTTTTCTGGGTATGGGTTTATCAACCAGAGCAGCAACGGATATGCAGCATCCCCTAAAAGCATTACAGGCACATCTACTTCCCCAAACCTCTCTATGTTAGGAGGGAATAGGTAGTTACTCTGACCCCTATCAAACAAGGATGAATTAGCAAAAACCCTTGCATCTTATACCTTGCCTGGCCATCCCACATTAATGTCCCAGAACATAAGCCTATGATCAACCACACCTTGCAGAATAACAGAATAGAAACCTTTCCGATTATAGTAGTCTGCAGGGCTGACAGGTGGAGCTAAAATGCCAGTATGAGTGCCATCAATAGCTCCTCCACATTGTGGTAACCCCCACTTGTCTCTGAAACCCTGAATTATGCTTCAAATTCCTGTTCAGATGGTGTTCTGATAAAAAGTGAATTCACATTTTTTCACAATTGCAGACAACAAAGTTTGTAATGCTCACTGCAGTTAACTGACCTATCTTAAATAAATAGGAGATTGTTCTCAACATTTGTGGCCAATCTCCATATGCACATTGCCACAGGCACTGGTTACCTGAATGTAGTGGTTTGTCTTTGAATGTGTGGCTGCAGGCTGTTGCACAACTGTACGGATGCAGCCCTTCCTATTCTGAAATTATACTTCCTCTCACAATCTGTCTAACTGGTGAGAACATGCTGCCACCACACATCAGATCTCTGACGAATCCATATAGTCCTGCAGCAGAATGGAAAAAATATTGATAATTGTTTATAGTTTTTGCATATACAATCACGTACAGCTCTTTGAAGTGTAATTAAACAAACGAACCACTTTGACAATGCACACAAAATACTAATGTACTTAATATTAAATACCTAAAATACAGCTGTTATATCTGCTATATCAATGTTAAGTTGTTAATACCAAAAGTAAACACTGATTTAAAACTTGATTTCTTTTGCATTTCCACTAAAAACTGCAACAACATATTGTTACAAAGTAAATGCTAAACAAATGAATCAAAATGAAGATCGAAGTGTCACAGTTTTTATTAAATAACAAATTTATAATTAAATAACCTGTATGTAACAGAAGCAGTTAAAAACAAGTGACGTTACGTATTGGACACTTGATTGTAAAATATGCAAAACTCAGTTTTTTATGTAGTTATCGAACTTTAATTTCAACATATCCCTAATAGTCTAAGACGTTACACCATCATTAGCCATACTACGCTACAGTTATCATCAAAAAACATACTGTGTTGGACATTTAATAACACAACTTCCTTTTGTTCTTATTACTTTTTATTTTTTCTCACATTATAGATGTACAGGAACTGTAGTCACTCTCCAAAGCTGCAAAGTCTTTGTTGCATTTCAGCTGCCACTTCGCAAACCTCCTGAAACGAGCAGCACGATTTCGTGAAAATTTCCAAGTCACAAAGACAATAAACCGGCTCATCGTTATGCTGTGAGAGGGCTGGGCACCACTGAGGAGCAAACGACTAAAAAAAAAAAAAAAAACAATCACCCACAAAATTAACAAAGCAATGGACTCCATTGTGCTTAGCGCAGCTCTTACTGTTTATTTTGAGTATGTCGTACTATAATGACGCACTATAATGATGTAAACGGGTTTGGGTATGGATGCTTAAAACGCAGTGTGAGTGCGGGCCGTAGTGGGAGAGAGGAGGGACGCAGTCGTGCTTCGGCCCGGTTCATTGCAACTGTACATAGTGTAAGTACGCCCTGAAAGACTGGTGCTAGCATATCTAAAGGACATCACTGGACTCTTGCTTGACCTCCTGCAGTTTGCCTATAGAGAAAACTGGTCTGTGGATGATGCATTCAACATGGGGCTGCATTATACCCTTCAACATCTATACAAACCAGGGAACTATGCAAGGATTCTGTTTGTGGACTTCAGTTCCCCTTCAGGGGGAACTTCAGCACTATAAGTGGATTTGATGTTTTAAATCCACGTATGGGAAATTCGGTTCAGAAGCTACTTGTCTGAAAGAGTATTGAACGGGCCAAAGAAAGCAATGAATTGGCAGCGTAAGCCTGCGCAGGTGTGCTGCATCGCCAATTAACTGAGCATATAAGCACACCTGGCGCCAGCAGACGCTATCCTTTTCGCTTCAGAGACTTTTCTGATCGAGTTCATGAGGGTTCCTCTTGCTGATCTACAGCCACTTCGAGCGAACGAGTGTCTCCCGGTCCAGAGCGAGTCCACGCAGCGGCAGACGGTCGAGCTGGGTTTCTCCCTTGCCTGGCGTCCCTTTAGGTCCGGTCCTCCAAGAGCGGTGCGTATTGTGCAAAGCATCCTAAAAGAGCAAAACAGTCGTGCAGCACGTCCTTTTCAGGATGGCACTCCGACTGTGCGTTTCTGGTTGCGGGGGTTTCCTGGCTCCGGATGATGGGCACGATCACTGCATTACATGTTTGGGGGTCCAGCATGTTAATGTGGTGTTCGGGGGTGGTTCATGTCGTCACTGCGATGCCATGACCGTCGCGCAGTTGAGATCACGGCTAGCTTTCGTAATAGAGCGAGCCACCCCAGTCGCCTCCTGCTCTGCAGCGGGCGCTCGGGCAGATCTGAGGGTCTCAGCGGGAGATAATCCACCGTCTAAGGGCTCGCGGACCTCTCGCTCCTCCAAGCGCTCCATCCAAGCTTCGGGTACTGGAAGTGATCCGTCTAATCAGATGGTAGCTCTCACTCTCGCTGACACCGGAGATCAGATGTCCTCCGCGGCATCGGAGGGTGGGCTTTCATTGTCCGACGATGATCCGGACCCGCTCGCCCCCTCTGGGCAAGCGAGCGCCATCAAAACGGATCCTGAAGCGGACATGTTGGCCGTGCTTTCTCGGGCTGCTTCGGCCGTCGGGTTGGAGATGGTTCATCCCCCAGCCCCGCAGCCGGACCGACTAGATGGGTGTTACGTAGAGGACCAAAAGGCGAAGCCTTTGAAGCCTTTCGTCCCCTTCTTCCCGGAAGTGCACAGTAGGCTCACGTAGTCCTGGAGGGCACCTTTCTCTGCCCGCATTGTGTCCGCCTCCGCCCTCACCACCCTGGATGGTGGAGCTGCCAGGGGGTATGAGGCGATCCCGCAGGTGGAGCGCGCCATTGCGGTCAATCTTTGTCCGCAATGGCCACTAAGTCCACCGCATGCGCACTGGGGAAGACGATGTCCACACTTGTGGTCCAGGAACGCCACCACTGGCTAAACCTGGCAGATATGCGCGATGTTGACAAAGTTCGCTTTCTTGACCAGCGATTTCTCGCCCAAATCCCAGGCTGGCCTGTTTGGCGACACCGTCGGTG